TATTTTTAATCAGCTTGCTCAATTTTACATACATTTGTACATAAAACTTGGTATATTCGAACTTTATATATAGAAAAAATTCTTCAATTAAATACATATAGGGAGATATATTTGAAATTTATATATAGAAAAAAAAAAAAATTATATAATATGCAGGAGAAAAAATAGGTAACGTATCAATGTTTGTAGTGTCGAATCCAAAAAGGAATAAAGGGACTTTGAATATTGTTAACAAACTTAATGTCAATGTCGTTTTATCAAAGCTGATCATTGGTACTTCACTTGAGAATTTATATCTTCACACTTCAAAAGGAACAACCTTTTTTTAAGTAAAATTCTTTTGTTTTACATACTCGCATGTATCTTTCGCGACATTTTCTTAATTTAAAATAAAAAAATAAAATAATAAAAGGTGATACTTTGGTTTTCAAGTTTTTGGTTCTAAAGTGCATGATGATTGGAGAATAAAATATGACATACATGATACAACTAAGAGAATAAAGTTTGGGGAAATGCTAAAAGGTCCAAATCGTTCCGTCCGGATTTGATCTAACCGTTAGATCATCATGTAACTGTTAGGGATAATTGATCTAACGATTACAAACCCCGACGGAATATTTTCGTAACAGGATCGTAGCATCTTCCGTTTGTTTGGTATATTTGTTTATCTTTGTCATGCAAATGAGTGTATGGTAAACCAACAATATGTGTTCTATATCGATCATTTGTCTTTTTGATGTGATTCAAATTTAAAATATTTTAAACTATTCATGGTACAAATGATCCCCTTTTTATTTTTCTTATGCAATAATTTTTTTTTTTTTTTTNNNNTTTTTTTTTTTTTTTGGTTAGTTTAGTTAATGTAGTATTGCACTATGAAGTAATAAGGATACTGAAAATTTAATAAAATTGTAGTTTTTGTAGGGTTCTAGTTTTAAATTAAGAGTTTTCATTATGTTATGCCAATCTCTGTCAATGCATCCTATGTGGGAGCTAATAACAACAAGCCATTGTGGTGAGTTCTCGGCTCGTTAAGTTAACAAACCGATAAAAAACTTGAGCTTAATGAGTCATATTTTTATGTTAAAGGTTCATAAAAATATGCAGTAACCCCCAATTATCAGTCCTGATGAGTATTAACGAACACCGAGCTCTTGTTAATTAAACAAGCTCGAGCTCGACTGCTTTAACAAACAAATCAGGCCGAGCTCATAAACAGATATTGTCTCGTTCAAGAAACTCTAGGATTTTAAACATGTTGAAACCCTACTTGAAAATCTTAAACACGTTAAAACATATTCACGACAAATTACGAGGCTAGTATGTTAGATTAAATGAAATAAAATTTATTGTACTAGATCAAATGGAACTGAAAGAGTCATTGTTGACAATTCTTCTGGCATAATGCTAATAATGGACTAGATCAAAATGACACTCGTGCTTCTACTATTAGTGAAATTTCAAAAAAAAAAAATATATCAAACGACGCAATACACTTTGAGTCGCTATGGAAACAGTCTCCTTGTATAATTACAAGAGTAAAATCTGCGTACAACTGACCCCCCAAAACCCCAACCAGTTGGAAATATAGTAGGTATGTTGTTGTTGTACCACGAAGTCCTAGATGAGAACTCTAGGGACACAAAGTTAATTCCATTTTTGCAGCTCAGTACCAAAAAAAATAGAATAATTACAATTGAATTTGGCAATTCAACTCATAATAAAAGCTTTCGTTCTTTCCATTGTGTGAGATCCATTGTTCCAAAAGCTAAGCAGTAATCCAACCATTAAGTACCATAATGTCTTAAACCAAGCAACCATTTAACAAAACGAAAAATATAAGCAAAGCACACAACGAAGAAAAATCCATGAATCAGAAGCTTAGAACAACTGAAAAAAAAGTAGGTTTTTCTAGAAAGATAATAAAAGAAGATCAAAATCAGAGCCAAATAGAACACAACTTCATAATTTCAATTTGGCCTATGTACTCTTTACGACTCGTAATATACTCCTTAGCTGATCTTAGCCTTCGAGAAATCCATCTCCGGATGCTGCAACGTAACGAAAATTCGCATCAGCACAGTAAAAAGAAGTTAGAATTGGTAATTACAGTTTACTGTTATGGAAAGGTAAATAAAAAAAAAAAAGAAAAAGAAAAAACAGATTTGCCACTCTCGTTCACCTCTGCCATAAACTTCTTCAGTATTTCCTGTTTCTGCATCTCATCACTTGTTGGGAGTCCCATTTGCTTCTGCCTTTGGTCAAACTGAAAGAACAGAATATGAATAATTGAAAACAATTTTTCCTTATTAAGAAAAAAAAGCACCAATGAATGGAGAGATAACTTTAGTCCTTACCATCATCTTCTCAACAGTCGAACGTGTCTCCGGGTCGAGGTCGGCTAATTTGCTGTTTTCCGGTTCAACTTTTTGCGTGTCGAGCTCTGGCTCACCTTTCACCAAGTATTTCCACCATTCCATCTGGTTTTGTTTTGTCAAGAGAATGGAGATTGATTTCTGGTCCTCTGCAAAATTTGAATAACCCAATCAGCAATAATCACATCATAAATGACACCAAATATCCAAACTTTATTCGGAATGCGTACCCAAACTCCAAAAGCAATCGTCAACTTTGACGGGCTGGAAAAGGTCTCCCTTTAAGTACAAGAAGCACAATAAGTACTCAGTACAAATTACAAATTACACTAACTTACTTGAATAACATGATGGAGAAAAAGTTATTAAATGCACAGAAGGAGGAGACTTACATCAATAATCGGTGGTTGACCTTTGAGCCCAACTTTGAGATGATTTTTCTTAATCTCACATGCAATGAATCGAGATTTAGTTCCAGGAGGCACGGGAATAGTGATGTTAACCTCTTGCAAAGATTGACCCCATGAGTGAGTATCCAGGTCAAGGCCATTGATCTTGTTTGGAGCTGCTCAAGAAAATAATATATGGCTAAATAGTATATGACAACAAATAGAGTACTCACAAGCCATAAACTATGGCTATATAGAGGCACATTTTTGACAAGGGATAAAAGAAGAAATATATCAAATGAAGGTAACTGCATAAACAGATTGGATTATATGAAAGCTCCACTTATTAAACTACAGTCAAGCAAATTACGTTTCTCCTGCTACTATCAGCTAAAGCATTGACAGCATAGTTAAACTTCTTGCCGAAATTCGTAATCTCCCACAAATAACCATTCCTTCTCCTATACCTGCTATTTGGCATGGCTACACAAGTGCAGGGCAAAACAAAAAGCTTGAAGCATTTGAGTTAGCCAAATATCTCAAAAAAATCCCACATTCTCAACCAAGGTGCATAAACAATCACAACTACAACAAAAACCCAGTAACAAGATAACAAGAGAATTCATTTTTATAAGCATACAGTAACATACAGAAAATTAACACCACACAAATTTTCAAGCAAAAAAACAGAACTTCAGGCGAACTATGATCTAAAACGAGAAACTCATTATTGTACCTCGACGCCCCTTCTCATCCATTTCCACTTTACTCTCGCTCTTCTTCTCCTCCATAACCACTTCTTTCACAGCCTCTTCTTTTTTCACCGGCGGAGGCGGCGCCGCCGCCGCCGCCGACTTCGACTCTGCCTCTCTCCTCCTCTTCTCCTCCGCCTCCACCTTATCCTTCACCATCCTCACCACCGCATTGACGTCCTTAACCAGCGAGTCGCTCCTGAACAGATCGCTCTCCCTGGCCAGGAACTCGAAGGCCTTTTCCAGAAACCCCAGAGGATCCGACGGATCGAGGGCAGCGCTGAACGGCTTCCTCGCTGGCGCCGATGACGACGGCTTTCTCTGGTCGTCCTCCTCGAAGTCCGAGAGTATCGCCATCTGCGGGCTTGGCTGGAGATCGATTGAGTGGAAATTGGAGATTTCTAGGGTTTCCAACGATAAAATTGGGGTTGCGGAGTAGTTCGAGCCGAGGGGCTCCGAGAATTGGAGGTATATATTCTGACGATGACCGGAGATAAGTGACGAAGGCGAAAGATAGTTCTAGAGCACTTGATTTTATGAGAATTTATGGAAAAGGTCTTGAGTTTTGGTAAAATTATATATTTGTACCGGTTGAAAAGAATGGACAAAAAATATATAAAGCATAATAAAAGTGTAGAAGGAAAAATAATAATTACCATCTATATATATATAATTGCTGGCATACAGCATTTAATAAAGCATTTAATAAAACCTATTTTCATATTCCCGCCAAAAAACGTTACACAATAAATGTGGCAAAAATGACTCATTGTATTAAATGTGGCAGTTACAATCTCATCCAAATTTGAATTTTTTTTTCAATTAACAATAAAACTTTTATTAGGCATAAACTTAATTGAATGTAATATTTAGACAATAAAATAATAATTATTCATTTTTTATACTATTTTATTTTGGTCTATGAATGAATAATATTCAGTCAGGCCAAGAAAAGTGAATAAATACAACACATACAAAATTTAAAAAACATTACAAATAATTACAAATAATAAATAATTGACCACTCCTTAAACTTTGAATTAGACCTGCAAAAAAATAATAAAAAATAAAATCAGTTAAAGTTTTAAATTGAGACTAAAAATGTTGCACATATTATTTTCAAACTAAACTAAATATTTTGCTAGGAGATTCTTTGCAAACAAAATAATTTAAAAAAATGATTTGAAAACAAATTTTTTAAAAGAAATTACGCTAAATAAACATATTGTTTGCATATTTACATAAAAAATGACAATAAAATTTTAAAAGAAAAACTAAAGTCAGTTGTGTCAATATATATCGGCCTATTGTACTTTCTATATGTTAGCAAGCGGAAACATAAAGAGAGAGAGAGAGAGAGAGAGAGAGAGAGAGAGAGAGAGAGAGAGAGAGAGAGAGAGAGAATTTAACAAATTCATCGAGATGTATCGACCTATTTCACCGACTTTCTATTATTTCGAAAGCGGTATGATGAAATAAGGAGAAATGATCGTGTTTTCTTCTCCGATTTGATGGTTATGCGGTGTAATTGTCTAGGGTTAGGGTTTTCTCCTTAAATCCTCCCGTCCCCCAACAAGTTTCATGAATGTTCCACACGCACTCTGACCATTCAACAAAAAAAAAA